GCTACAAAGTGAGTGTTTTTCCGAGAAGTTTATAAAATTGGACTGGGCTAACCCAAAATAACTATTCATATGATGAAATTTCACCTCATCGTCCGCCTACTTACTTTTTGTATACAGTTTTGAAAGACTGGATGGGAATTACAGAATAAAGCACTTAAAAATGCCTGTGTACCCAGACCCAAATATGCTCACTAGAAGGTTCTCCACCTTGTGTTTTATGCAATATAAAGCCCTGCAAAATCTCATCAGAATGCTTCTGAGAAACCGTGGGGTGTTACTGAGGTATTTGACAGATAAAGAAGCACATGTTCATAAAAACTAAAGGAAGCTCTATACCCCCTGACTACATATAGATCTAGCTTTGGGGAAGCGGGGAAAGGGTTTTGGGTTGGTTTGTTTTTAATTATTCCTTACTGATGGGCAGAAAGGGACATTTCTGCCCTTTACTGGGCACAAAGAGACATTTTCTTAACGAAAAGCCTGCCCAGATGACATTATATGCAAAAACTGCAGTAGTACTATTGCTTTCGCTAATTTTTCAACAGTAAGGTGTAACACTTGGCTAGAACGCCTGAAGAAGCTTCATTTCACTGACTGGGTGCATACTAGATTGCATTTCCAAAGCAATCTAGTGTAAAATACAACAAACACACTACAAAAAAAAAAAAAACAAACCACCACCCAAACCAAAAACCACAAACCCAAAAACCATCTCAAAATTATTCCATCTTTTACTTGCCCCTAGCATGTTACACATATACATCCTATTAAGATATCAACCAAGAATGTTAAAAAGAGAAAGAATATTTTTGGACACCATGAAAACACTGACAGGCTACAGAATATTTCTGCAGGCACCTAGTATTCATGGTGCTCTCGTATCACAAACAATTTTTTTTTTTGGCTAGCACAAAAGAAACAAGAGAGTAAAAATCTAAAATATATTCTAACATACAATCAGAGAGCTTACCAGAAAAACAAACCAATCTTTGTGTCTCCTTCAAAGACAAGAACTCCTGTAGGTGTTAGTCCCAGGCTGTAATCATTGCCGTCTCTTGCCTAATTGCCACAAAATAAAGATTATGCTCATTTTGGTGTTTGACCCTTTATCCAAATTACTCCAGTGATTAATGTAGCTTATTTGCCCACTGTTATAATTAAACACCTATCTGCTTATTTTATACAACAAAACTCTTGTGTTTCAGTGATCTTATGCAATGGATTTTTCTAGTTTGCCACCCTTCAATAAGGCGGACTAAAGCAGAAAATTAAAAGTTTCTTGATTTGTCTGTGTAATAAGGACCTCCTTGTGCAGCTCTCTGCACTTCCTTCTCCACAGGAGATCTATTTTCACTTGTAGTTCTTCAGCTGGTAGCTGACTGGACCGCAGCCAATTTTAATTTAATTACTATGATTTTCACATAGCTTTTAGTCTAAATACAAACTGTAGTACATATTGCCACACCAATCACATATTTAACACAGAACAGATATGCTTGGACTAAAGTTATACCTTCTAGAAATACATACTATGAAATGGAATGCTGATGCAAAGCCAGATCACTTGTTACACAGTTTAGATGAGTACAATACTCCCCCCACTCCCCCCGCCCCCAAAGCAAAACCAGTGTTGAAATGTGGGACAAAGCTGACATTATCATTGCCAAAGGTCACCATGCTGTGGTTAAACATACCTTGACTATGTGCATGTCTACACCATACATTTCCAGCCACTTAGCTTTGTTTAAGTAGTTAGTTTCAGCCTGTGCTGGTGTTTGCCCCCTGAAATAAATTGTTTGCTGTTAGGTAGATGCCTGAAAAAGCACAGAAAGGAAGAACTGGTATATGGGGAAAGAGGAAAAGAAATTCCTGAAAGTTTGTGAAAAACTAAACACTGCTGACACTTGTTCACTTTCATGAACATCAGGGTCACTTTTGTAAGTTTTAATCTGAAACCGCTGCTGCAAAAATTATTGCATTTCAAGATTCTGTACCTCATCATTTTACTCAGACCTTTGAAAAGCTTAATTTTTCACATTTTATCCCCTTACAAAATATGACAGAACCATATTACAATTACATTTCTGAACAAGAGCACAGAAAAAGCATCAGCAGCATCTTTTTAATACATTCTCTTCACAGAAAAATCAGTGCAAACAGCTGGTTAGCATGCACTGCAAGATCTAGTACCTGCATTCCTTCCACTTCTCAAAAATGGCTAGTTCCATCTCTTCAGTCTGAGTAGGAACAAACCTGAACTCAGACACCAGTTCAGGGACATGTTCAACAGGATCATAGTCTCCAAGTTCAGCTACGAAAGAACAGCACTGTCAGGCAATGTTCCCAATAAACACAGTGGATATTAACAGAAACTTCTGCATACTTTTCTAGTTAATCTAAAATACTGAATTTCTTTTTGTGTTCCTCCTTCTCGTCCAGTCTTCCCAATACTTGAAGTGTCACCTATTTTGACAGGGCAGTTATGGACACTGAACACATGGTCATGTTGTCTGCACAAAAGCTTTGCATTAATTTTTACAAACTGCTATATTCCTTAACAAGCTTCCTATAAATAGAAGTTATCAACATCCTTGAAACTCAGGTATTTTCTTTCTTGCAGAAAGTTTTCAACATTTTTATCACTGAAGTCTCTACTGAGATGACAGCTGACTCAAGTTACAATGAAATTTTGCTTTAAATTAAAACAAAATCTCTTCAGATTTGTTAAAAGCAAAACCAGTTCTGACACTTTTCAGAAAGCTATTTGTCCATTCTAATAATCAGTTTCTGGTTTTATGACTATAAATCCCCCTGTCCTGCTAAAATTCCTCTGTGTCAGGGCACAATCATGCAGCTGTTATTCGTCGCTCTCCTTTTCATCTAAGGACATAATAAATGCTCTACTGGGTCAGTCAAATGGCTCATCTAGTCCACGGCTGCATGCTCAACAGGGGCAATAAGAGATGCTATTTAGAGAGCATACTGGAACATACTAGTCAACGGGTGTGCCACATCAAAAGCACAACCTCCTTTTTCCACAGATGCTAACAAGTCCAGCTTTTAAAGACTAATGTCTGCCTAAAATGCTGAAACTCACAGTTAGAAGCCTTTATAAAAATGTCCTGATTTTCAGAGTCACTACGCCTTTGCTCCCCCCACTGATTTCAAGCAGCTTCTTAATTTTCAGCTCATATCCAAAAAATTAGGAATAATTCCGTAACTTGGAACTTGGGTGTCCGATACAGGCCAATAATTGTTCTGTCTGAAAAAAGAAACTACAGATGTTTGTGTAGGAAAAAATAGTGACATCTTTGGGAAGACCTGGAAATGTCAAATAAATACACACAGTATTCCACAGGTGCAAAAACTACATACGATCTAAAAACCTGTTTCTTGGATTTCTGAACACTGCAAGCATTATAATAGTCTTTTCACCCCCTCCTTTTTTTTGGTAATGCTGACTGAGGAAGTCTGTAGTTCTATAATAATTTACTCCCACTAAAACGCCTGCCTCTGTTGAAAGGAACGCTGTCAAAGCCAGCTTAGGTTCCAGCTGATTTAAATAAAAGTACACAGCTGTCAGACAGTAAGATTAAAGCCCTGCTACGGGCCTCATTGTGGAAAGAGGAAAGAAAAGACCAGCACAAAAGAGCAATGGATATATGGCCTAATTAGATCACTTTGTTTTTCCAAAAACTTATCCACTGAACCCATATCTTAAGGCTCTAACAATGCTAATATTTTTACCTATGGAATTCTAACTGTTTTCCTTCCACATAAAAGAGCAGGTCAAAAAGGCAGGTATCTTTACAGTTTATTCCCAACTCTCTATACCTACACATGATCAGGGCCATTAGTAGCTCCTGCCTGAAGAACAAAATGTGGTTTGGAAAATATCTGTAGGAGGAAGAATTTCAGTGACTTAGTCCTGTTACCTAACTCCTGCAAAGTAAGTACAACACTTAAGATTTATTTATTTAAGGTTTATAAGATGAATATTGTGTAGAGAATTTGTGCAGCACAGATGCGTGACACATCTCCAAACTCCCTCTTCATCGAAGAGGACTGTACAACAGCTTTACAGCAGATGTTCTGGGATTTTTTTGTAGACTCATAAAATGGGTTGAATAAAGCCATATAGCTGTATCTTCCAATAAGGACCCAAAAGCCTACTCTAGCAGACATTTCTAAAACTTCAAGCCTCCCCTCTTTCTTTTGCGAGTTCCCCTGCTTGAAACCACAGCAAACTTCACGTTGGTTAAGATCACACCCTCATCCAAACAACAGAAGATATTGGCCATGAAGATCAGTGATGTACAACCTATACAAGCAACTGAAGGTCAGACCACAGTTCTCAGAGAAGTCATGGATGCTGGAGTCTCAGCTGGAATCAAAAGTTAAAGACAACTCATCAATAAGAGTCTCAGATGACTCAAGCATAGTGCTGTAGAGCTGAGAAATAATATGTCACTCTTTTGGCTGAAGAAGGATCTGAAATACCAGCAAGTGCGGTTCAACCATAAATGCTCAAGTACAAGACATGAGGCACTAACACATTTCTGCAAATAAGCTGAAGTCAAAAGCTAGTGGGTTTTATATACAGGACTTTTCAATTGAGTGCAGAACCAAAATAATTTGGTACCTGATTTGTACAACAAAGAAAACACATGGCAGAAACTACACAATGAAAAAAAAGTGAACTGTGTTGCTACATCAAAGCAATTCATGAAGACTGCAGACCTTGTATCTTGTGTGAAAGTGGACAGGTTTGCATACAAGCACCTGAGAAAACAAGTTTAGGGCAAAGCTGTTTATGTTCAGAACCTCCTTGTTCTGTTTCCTGAGGAATCGGCATTTTCTATATACACTCTCAGCAAAATGACAATCAAAAAGAGCTGTGTTTCACACTGGATCGCTAATGTCTGGGCAGAACCTATTTTCTGAATATAACAAGGACAGACTAAAAGAGGTGGTAAGAGCCTACACAAAGCTGTTCATGCAACTTCATCCTTCCCTGCTCATACCTACTCACCTTGCATGTTATAAGCTGCCAACTGGACGGCTGTGTCAAAAGGACATTCCAATCTGCCAAAAGAGAAATGCATTGTTAAACCTTTAGCTGACACTATTTAGCAGACAATTTGTATATCTGAAAGTGAGAAACTGCAAACATTTGGGACAATAAAGGGAAAAAGGATTAGTAGATTTTCAGCAAATTAACAAGAGATAAGCACTACATTATTTAAGCATTCCTCTGCTGCTATCCATGCATAGAAAAGTAGTATTTTAGAGAAAAAAACATTACATTACTTGGCAAAACTTATTAATTATACAAATAAAAGTTTAATAAATCCTATGCTATACACCCTGTAATTGTTTAAAAGGCTGTTTATTATGAATACTTACTTTCCACTAAGAATGTCCAGTTTCAGCTGCAGAACAAATAAATACCTGTAGGATTAAATAAGAAAAAGTCATTGATTAATACTTCTAATGTGTCCCTCAACCAACAGGAGGAAGTCAGAGCATGACAAATAAAAACGTTTTCTACTCTTTGCATGGGTTTTCAATACTGGAGAAATGGCACTGTGATCTTTCAAGGCTTTCTCATTTGGGTTTGTATGCTTTACACACATTTCAAATGAAGTAAACCAAAAGACAGAAGTTGTCACAAGCTGAACCAGTGTTGCATAGAAAAAGAAACAGGATACCTAGGTAAGTCTCATTTTTTCTCTTCTGATCCTACTTGGGCAAAGAGCAACTTGCATCTTCCACATTTTCTTCATTATTTATAGACATATTGATCTCATAAGAGAGTGAGTATTATAAAGTCTCTCAAAAATAAGTGTTCCTAATACGGATTGCTTACTTAAAAATCTAACCCAGAAAGCTGACTGCAAAGAGACAAAAAAATAAACAGCAGGCTGCAGCTTTTTCAACTTATTTACTCTTCAGAGCCAGCTTTCCTTCACTGTCTTGCTCATTTAGTACTCTTCCTGCTTAGAAATTGGGCAAATATTGAATACAAAGCTCCTATCCCCTTGGTGTGAAACACCAATCCATCCGATCTAATACCCACAAAGAGCAGGCCTCTTGCTCCCTTATGGTACACAGCCTTCCTTTAACAAGAGAAGTAGTAGTCTCGTCAACTGGCATCCGTGATGGTATCCAGTGTGAATTCTACTACAGATGAACATAAGCCTTATACACCAAGCCAAAGACAGTGCTTCTGTTTCAACATGTGCCTATGTCTCTTCATACTCACACAGACACGAAACAGATGCAGGCATTTTTCCTACAGGTCCCTTGGAAATCTACAAATACTCTGCCAAACCATTTATTATCCAAAGCCTTTTGAACTGGCCCCTACATAGGGAATAAATTTGTTTGGTAGTGACCCTAGATATCAAAAGAATGAACACAGGCCTCCAGTGTATCATGGGTGTGACCAGTCTGTGCTTATCAGCCACATAACACTTGCAAACAATTCACGCATACTTCCCATGCTTAGGCTGTGTTACATGACCTCTGACTGGTGGCATCTGATGGGAAGCTGGCAGAAAACGTGAGCAAGCTGCACCTGTGGAAGCTGAAAAGTGGTTCCAGCTGGGTGTCCTGCTGCACAAAGAAAGGTGGAACCCTCGGAAAGCCCATAGCAGAGCTCCCCTTCCCACTGCTTCTTTAAGGCATAAAATTGTCTCAAGACAGAAGAAAGACTTGCTGCTCTCCTATTCTGGGGGATTAGCTAAGCAGACAGACAGGGTTTAAAAGCCCTAAGGTTTCAGGTCTGCCCTGCTAAAACCTGTATAGCAAGGTCTGACTGGCAGAACTGAGGATGGATGAAAATGTTTCATAGTGGTAGATACAGATGTAGGTCTGAATTTTGTCTATGGTTACTGTTCTTAAAGACAGTTAAATGTTTATTCAGGAACATGAATGGGGAGATAAA